TTACCAACGAATAGTGGGATTGACCGTTATATTATAACGCCCCCGCGGCTTAAAGGGCGAGCATGTTTGGTGGGACGGGGATTTGAACCCGCGACCCGCAGATTGTGAGTCTAGCTTCCTACACACCTGGCCATTATGCGTTTAATTATTTATATGTGATGATGAACTCGTTAGTGCAACAGCACCGGTGTGCTTTCCGTTTCATACTTAAACTAGTTTTGAATATTTAATTATGTACACGAATATGATACATAAGAGAGTACAGCCTTTCAAGCTAATAATTCTGTTAATTACGTTTGTTTGTTGAGATTTGATACGTTTGGTGGAAAATTGCATTAGTTAGCTTAGACCAGTGGTTCTAATTATGGGCCATATGGCCCTCAGGGAGCCACGTCATGTTTCTAAGGGGTCACATGTGAATGACGGAAAATTAAGGGCTATAGCAAATTCTGAGTGGGCCACCGAAACTTCAATGCTCGAATAAAATGTTTCAAATTAAAAATTGAATCAAAGGTTCCCTTCTCCCCCACAGCTCAGAAGTCAAATTACCAGACGCAACTGGTACTCGAGTAACAATCAAAATTCCTGATTCAGTGGTGGATCCATTTGGCATGAATGCGGTTGATGTTGACATCACATTACAAGAATGTCTCATCGAACTTCAGAGTGATATAACAGCACAAACTAGATTCAAACGTGACAAACATTATTTCTGGATAAGTAGTGAAATAGCTAATAAGTTTCCACAGCTCTGGGAGAAGGCAAAGTTGTATTTTTTCGCTTTTCCCACATCTTATCTGGTTGAATCTGGTTTTAGTCGAGTGACTTACTTGCTATCAAAAATACGCAACCGCCTTGATGTTGTGAAGAGAGATGATCTTCGCTTATCACTGACCACACTGCAACCGGACATTCAAAGCTTTCAAGTGTCCGTCAGGCCCAAGGATCACAGTGAATAAAATGTCAATGATTAATAGAATATTTTTTACTTGTATAAGTAAACAGTATGTTATAAACAAAATATTTAAGAACAACACATTATCGTAATACAATATTGTAAAAAAAATATTATAAATAAACAGTGTGAAAATAAAGTAACATTTTTCCCTAAGTAACAACGTCTACAAATGGTAGTGCCACAGAGATAAATCAAATTCAAAAGGAAGCCACGAGCAAAAAAAAAGATTGAGAAACAGTTGTTCAGACTACACATGTTCTCTGGTTTCTTAATGCAGCTCAAGAATATATACAGTTTGGTTCTGAACTGGAATCTTCATAGCGCGTCATTAGTTGCTATAAAATCTACACCACACCAGGTAATAAACGTGATGAATACATTGTTTACAATGATTTAGTGAATGAATATATTTCAGTTTTGGTAACTGAAATTTTGGTAGATCACGTGACTGTCTTTATACAGTGAAATTACGGTATGATCACTCGTTTATATGAAAAAAAGGAAAACACAGTGTTCTTATTGATTTCGAGTATATTTGATTTCTAAATAGAAATGTTTGATTTTTATGATCAAACAATTTCTGAAATTTGGCAGATATAAAATGTTTTTTTTTCCCTCCATATTGTTTCTGAACAAGGTAGTCGTAATTCACTTTGTGTTAACTACATTTAGTTGTAGTGTTTTAACACAATTTGTGGGTGTACTACACAAATACAATTCTAGATTAATTTTTGTGAAACCGAACGTAATATTATTTATTTATTTAGACTATGTTAACTGGTATAAGAAAGCAGGTAAACGTTGTGTACAGACTAAAACCTTCAAGGTTAGAAGATTTAGTAATCATGACAATCAGACAGTGGTATAAGAACTCATATGTACGTGACATGGCTCATCTCTTTGACAATTGACTGTTGCCAGAAGTTAGCACGATCGACATGTGTAACGGCGAGACAGATCCGACCTAAAAAAATATAACCTAACTACTGACTATCACATCTGGGAAAGACACGTTACACAACCCCCCACTTGCTGCCAGATCAGTATTTGTAAATAGGTATACATTCTTGAATGTGTTTTAACTCTGCTTAATTTGACAGTCATAAAGTAGTCCCATATATGCATTATAATATAGAATACAATTATTATATGGTTAGGTAGATAACCTCCTTGACCAAATCCTGCTACAGAAAGTGACACCTAGTGCTTAATTAACACACGATCTAGGTTAGATTTAGTAAGTTCCAAATTAAATTTTGGTTTGTTTGTAATTAAGCACAAAGCTACACAATGGGCTATCTGTACTCTGCTCACCACGGGTTTCTACTGGGGTGGGGTGGCCAAATTAAGACCCTTAAAAAAAGTTAAAATTTTGTAAGTATAAGATATAGGAAAGTAATTGATGTCATATTTGCACACCACACTGCCTCTCTCTTTCTGTGGTAACAAATTCAATATCTAAGTAAATCATGCATAACTTAAATAATTTACGAGATTCAAACACCGGATGTTCACTCACTCACTATGTTGCAGGGCAGGAATACAAGTATATTCATTGCAGAGCATTGTTCAGGACAGCAGTACCGTAAAGAAGATGGCTTACCTTACAGTTCGAGTCCTATACGTTTTGCAACTATAGAATCCAGTTGCAGCTGTACTGAAAAAAAAAGGAACAGGTAGGAAGTAATACTTTCACTATTTGATTGGTTTCGTATATCATAAATCAGGATATCTGGGAAGAACAAGTGACAGACAAAGATCTAGCTAAATTGTGTCAAGCCATGCAACTGTGTGAAGTGCGACTTTTGCAGATAGACAAATGCTTTGAAGATGCACAGTGTATTTGGTAGTTGTATGAGCACTTACGAGTGCAGAATGATGCTTTATCACTGATGTGTAACGTCGTATTGTGGTACTGTACTCCTGTCGTAACTAATAGTTATGAAGTCTCTGAGGCAAGTGGTAATTTGGACTTTGCATCATGTAAAAACTAGCAATCCTTCATGAGGTGTTATGGATTACAGCACATGTTTAAGGTAAATTTTATGGCAGCATTCATGTTGAAGCATTGAGAGTTGATGTAAACATGTTAATATTTTTTGGTTGTTCACTAGAAAACCTGGCAACGCCAATGAAAACTCAAGCATGAAGTTGTGAGTTATCTATTCCGAAATTAGTCCTGGATTTAGCTGGTGTTCTGCTGGAGACTGATAGCAATAACCAATATGTGCTGATTATTATCGATAACTTCAACAAGTGGATCAAAATTTACCCATTAATTGATACTACACTGAAAATAAAAAGATCCATACAATGGATGATATGATTTAAGAGACGTTGCTTGCATAGTTGTGTTAAGGGAGAGGAAACTGTACATTTCACAT